GACAGTTCCCCAGTCTGAACAGCATTTTCCATTTTCATTATTATATAGTTCAACTCTTTATATTCTATTTTCCAGATAGGACTTCAACCATATTTTTGTTTTACCACCAATGCCATATGTTGCTAATTTACTCAAAAGAATATCATGACACACACAGTCAAATGCTTTTGTCAAATCACAAAAAATTCCTAATGAATGATTATGTCCTTCCAGCATTTCTAAAATATGATTAGTTAATGTATATATTGCCATTTCTGTGTTACTGTTTTCTCTAAATCCAAACTGTGCAAAAGATATTAAATTATTTGTATATATGTATTGCTTTATCCTATTGTACACCACTCTTTCAAAAATCTTAGAACAACTTATTAGCAATGATATTGGTCTATAGTTTGCCATAATTGCCTTCTCACCTGTTTTGTATATAGGTCTTAATGAGGCAAATTTCATTCTATCAGGATATGTTCCATGCTCAAAAGATGCATTAAATTTGTGACACAGTGGTTTACTTATCTCAGTTATACAGTATTTCAATATCTTACTAGAAATGCCATCATATCCTGTAGAATCTTTTGATTTTTGCAACATAAGTATGCTCTTTATTTCCGCCTCCATTGTAGGTATTAGCGTCAGTTCAGGGAATTTATCAAATTTCAAAGTGTCTAAGAATTTAATAGCTTCATTTTTATTGGCACTTTTCGTTTCCAGATTCTCAGCTACAGTTATAAAGTATTTATTGAATACTTCTACTACTTCCTTAGTATTAGTTAATTTGCTTTTCCCCACTTTCAATTCGGTTATATGATCTGTGCCCCTCCTTTTCCCAGTTTCTGTATTAATAATCTTCCAGGTTAATTGTATTTTGTTTTCCGAGTTACTTATAAGTTTTTGGTAGTGCAGTTTCTTAGCTTTTTTAATTACTTTCATAATGTCGTACAGTACTTCTTATAGTGTAATTCCAATCTTTCGTCCTTTGATTTTTTAACTAAGTTGTATAAAGCTCTCTTATGATCACAAGATGTTCGTATACCTTTGGTTATCCATTTATTGGCATTTTTTTTTGCACCAGGGGAGAGCTGTTTTCTAAAATTGTTAAGAAGGTATTATGAAATTTATTAAATTTCATATTAACGTTCTCTTAAACATAAACTGCTTCCCAGTTTTCATTTTGTAATGCCCATTGGAAATATGCTATGTTCTCATCATTAATATCCCTAAATGCTCTTACATGGTCCCTTTTCCTTATCACCTGTAAATTTTCAAGTACTAAGATTTGCCCATCATGGTCTGAAAACCCATAGTGGCTCTTGTATATAAAACAAGATTAACGTAACGTCCATGGGGATTAGTTGCGCTGACCAGTCGACACCCTCTATCCACTGATGTTGGCACTAACTTCGCGGACATGCAGCGTTCGCTCGGTCAGTATAGTTCGCTTGCAACTAAAACCACAGAGTTTTTTTTACCACCTCTTGTGATATTGCAGTTCTTGCTTTAATATTATTATGCTGTCAATAACAGAAAACATGATGGAAGTGTAGCAGTGAAGACAATAGGAACTGCATGTATACAATTGCATGCAGCAGTCACTAGGGTAACTTGGTTCATGTATATGAAACAGGCCCGTTTTGTAACAAGATAAAAAGAGTGAACATAGTGTATAGTAATTTTGGCAATCCTTTGACATCAAGCATGCTGTGGAGATCNGGGATTTTTTTAGTTGACCAAATCCTTCCAACTGCACTGTGGCCCTGGGGTCGACTCAGTCTCTAACAGAAATGAGTACCAGGAATCTTCCTGGTGGGTAAAGGACAGCCGGCACGTAAGGCTGACAACCTTATCACATCTGTGAGCTGATTGTCTAGAAAATGTGGGAGCATCAACAGGGATAGCTTTACCTTTTTGTTATCTACTACGTACATCAAGTAATGACTGCATTCTATTTTATTATTTTAAACATTTATGGATTTGTTAAATTGTTATTTTTTATAGATATTCAGTGATGTGTGTAGCTTGTGTCACATTATGAAATGTTAAAATCAAGACTGTGGTCTTCTGGGATGTGACATCATGTAGTTTGATGTGTGGATACGGATGTTTCAGAGAAACCTGCTCTGTGCATCTACCCTGCTTGAGGCAGCCCATCCCACAGGACTTAATCTTGATACTGTCTTGAGGACATTGAATCTCAAAAATTCTAAAATGTCTTCCAACTTGTTTAAATTAGAATCTTGTTGCGGATAACTTCCAGAAGCTAAGCTACCAGAAAAACAGATTACAGATTGCAGATGTAACACAGCAGCAGACTTACAAATGAAAAAAAAGAAGCTTCCACAACAAAACATCTGAAATAAAGGATACAGATCAAAACAAGTTGAGGGCATTCCTTGTGAGGTGTAATAAGAATTTTACAAAATTAAAAGGAAATTTTAATACAAAATTTTAATAGATTTTATTGATTTAAATTAACTACAGCGTGTACTATTTTAGCACATACCAATTGACTACGAGTATGACATTTTAAACCATGAAGCTTGCAGTCGCATATGCAACAGATGGGCAGTATTAATGCAGTGTAGCAGTTTTAGCATAGTAACATGGCCATTTAGGGCCGAAACTATTGTGTTGAAGGTGAGAGTGTTAGAAAGAAGGAACAATTTGTTGCTTTTTTGATGGACTGTGTAGTACAGTAAACAGTATTAGATACCAGAAAACAGTTATTTTTTTCCTTCTCTCCGTGTATCTTATTTTAGTTCGTATAGTAGTTTGATAGGGTCAAGTTACTGTTCGCATATCATTAGAATTTTTGCTCATAGCTGTTTTATTATTTATATACTGTGTCATGAAATTATATTGTGAGGAAATCATTAAATTACAAGGAAGCTAAGAAGTAATAGTTTGTGTTGATAAGAAACAGATGGATTTTGATGTCCTAATTACTCAGCAATGTTACTATTTTTCATATAATTCTGACCATACTAAATGCCTGAAAAGAAAACATCCTTCACAAACTCTAATACAGGAATTTTACATACCAAAAGATATTTCATTCATTATTATTTTTAAATCAATATTCTAAATTATTTCAGTGTATGTTACTAAATTCTGTACTTCTCTCAGTAATATAAATGATCTAAGAGAAATTGTAAGTATGAAGAAGCGTTTAAATAGCATTTCAACATATTTGAGTCTGTAATCAAGAAAATACATTCATTGTTATTAGTCACAGTATTATTTTCACAGGTGTTCTTGTGTTTCTAGAAAGTGGTGCCTTGTACACATGTGGAGAATGTGAATCAGGAAAGTTAGGACTTCCAGACAGCCTTACCAACATTACTTCTCCTCTGAAAGTGACACTTGGAGTGCCAGTAAAGTCTGCTTTCTGTGGTGGAAATCACACACTTGCATTAACAGGTAAGATAAAGTTCTGTTCCAGTAAATTCAGACTACAGCTTAGAGGGATGGGCATGACTGATCTATTGTCCACATCTCATTTCTTGGATTTACCCTGTACTAGCTCTGCACTTCTAATGACTTGCAGCGCTTTACTTATTGGCACCATTTGACAGTCACGTGGCTTAAATATTCATAACATAAATTTGTATTGGCATCACTCATAATATTGATACTGCCCTCATGATCTTCATATGTTCTGTTGTTAGCAGACGACTTTGACTAGTATCTTGTAAATAAATAGGGAAGAATAGTTCAGAAAAAATAATTTAAGTCTGACAGGTCCTGAAACTGGAGTGATTTGAGTTTCATCAAAATGGTGCTTTATAGAGAAAATTGGTTAAAGAACAAAAATTGTTCTCTTTAACTGGGTGTTTCTGTGGCTCAATGCTGGTATAGTTGTTCATATCATGAATGATATATTGTAAATAAATAAATTAGGAACAAATGATTGTTAGAGTGGAGAGGAAAGAAAATTGTGCAGGAAATTATGTAATTTTCAACAGGTGTTGAAATACCAGTACACCTCTTCACTGTGTGCATAAGATTACAGGTTTGTAAGTTGAATTAAAAATTAAATGTTTGCACCATATGATATAATTTGAAAATTATAAGATACAGGTTTGTAAGTTGAATTAAAAATTAAATAATGTTTGCACCATATGATATAATTTGAAAATTTTTTTGTCTCTAAATTGATTGCAATCCAAAGTACTTTAAAGGAATGCATGATCAGTTCTTAGACATTCTTTACTTATAACTTGGTGTAAATTACTAAATTTGTTAATATTCATGTGTCAAGATAGTAATTATTTTCTAAATTTTCAGGTGATGGTGAAGTGTTTGCATTTGGCAATAACTTTAATGGTCAGCTGGGCTTAGGACCGGAAATTACGCAAAGCATACTACCAACAAGAATTGTAAGTTTAGAAGACCATGTGATCATTGATGCGGCATGTGGCGAGAGCCACACGGCGTTTATAACAGGTGGGAGGCTGTTTTCAAATCATTCCTCTATTAATTAAATTTATTTTATGGTTATGCGAGTGTTCCAAAATTAATTTGGATGTTATCAAGAACTAAATAGCTGGGATGGAATTATTTTACATAAATTTATGTTTATCTGTCCAAATGCTTTTTCTCTGTATAGTAAAAGAGATTCAAATCTTATAACCATACCTGGGGAAATGGAGCTTCAGTACTTTTACATACTGTACAGCATGAGTTTAAGTATTTCAGTATCAGAACTTGTATAGTGTTTTTCCACAGTATTCTTCTGGTTGCCCATGTGTGGAATATTCACTTATATATCATATTTCAGGTTGTCTTTATATATGAGGTTAAGTCAATAAGCAAGTTACAAATGGATATAGAACTTAAACAAATAAGAGTACTGATTTGAAAAATGCTTTTATTTCTAAACATAATCGCCCTGTACTTTGAGGCACTTGTCCCATCTTTTCACAAGCCCCTGAAAACCAGCAGCATAAAATTCTTTGGGCTGCTGTCGGAACCAGGCAGTGACTTCCCTTTCTACAGCTTCATCATCGGGAAAATGTTCATCCGAAAGATGATGTTTAAGAGGGCCGAACAAATGGAAGTCACTTGGAGCAAGGTCAGAGTTATGCAGAGGATGCTCGAGGACTTCCCACTTGAAATTTTGCAGCTTCTCATTTGTCTTGTTGGCAGTATGGGGATGCGCATTGTCATGCAAGAGCAACATGCCTTTGGTGAGGAGTCCTGGTCGGTTCCATTGAATAGCCTTACAAAGTTTCCTTAGGATGTTATAGTAGGAGTCGGCATTTACGGCATTTGTTCAGCCCTCTTAAAACATCATCTTTCGGCTGAACATTTTCCTGACGATGAAGCTGCAGAAAGGAAGTCGCCGCCTGGTTCTGACAGCAACTCAAAGAATTTTATGCTGCTGGTTTTCAGGGGCTTATGGAACGATGGGACAAGTGCCTCAAAGTACAGGGCGATTATGTTTAGAAATAAAAGCATTTTTCAAATCAGTACTGTTATTTGTTTAAGTTCTATATCCATTTGTAACTTGCTTATTGACTTATGTACGTACTTTCTGAAACTGTGTAAGATTTGTGATACTGTGCTTTATCTTGTACACAGACACTTTCATATCTTTCACACCTTCCCAGTATATTTTCCTGTCACTTTGTTTTATGATGTGTTTCACATTCTGTGACCTGTTGTAACAACTTCATTTACTAATTAAATGTGAAAGATACTAAATTGATGTAGTATCTTGGAAGCAATTAGATGTCCCACTTATTGGTTGCTAAACAAAGAGTGGTAGTACAGTGAAGGGTTTTCTGACTTTAAGCCTTCATACTGGCTGTGTGTGACAACATTTCCTCCAGCACTGATACAGGAGTTATCCCATAGTAACATTTGTATCAGAGCCTTTTCAGTGAAAACAGGATATGCCTAGGAGGGCAACATTGACAGTTATGTACGAGAAGCAACACTGAAGTGGCCTGTCTTTATACCACCAAAAATGTTTTTAAAATATCAACCCAAAGGTAAAAGAAGACATCTGAAATGCTGGGAGGATTCTGTTTTGTAATATTAATAATAGGTTTCAATATGCCTAATATTGAAATGGATGACAACATCCATACTGGCTCTGGGGCCCACCCAGCCTCCTGTCCAATGGGTACCAGGGGCTCTTTGCCTGAAGGTGAAGTGGCTCAGGTGTTAAGCTGACCACTCACCTCCATCTAGTGCTGAGATCAAGAATGGTGGTGCTATTCCTCCACTTTCAAATGCCTTCAGTGGGTGGTGCTTAATTTATAAGGGTCAGGGAAACTTTACCTGTTACCATTTACTGTTCCAGTGGGATCAGTGACTTCCATAGAACTTTTTAGTAGTCACCCGTTGATATATGATGCATATTACATATTCTGTAACAATTGTGACAGTTCTAAGAATTCTGTACACTAAAATTGTCATTCCACAAGCATGAGTGTGAGTAATTTGTGAGTTGAAAAGAAGGTAATTTTTAGATTATCCATCTAGTTTATTTATTTATTCCTCCTGTGTTGTCAATTAAGCCACAAAGTTGCATGTATATTGTAATGTATAAAGTTTATAGCTCTCATTGTATGTTTTACTCTTTTAGATAGAGGCAGCCTCTATACATGTGGGGAAGGTCGACATGGAAAACTTTGTAGTGAACAAGATGATAAAAATCAGAACATTCCGGTTAAAGTTACCAAGTTCAAAGGATTAACAGTTCAAAAAGTAAGAATTTTTGGCTGAAACTGCGTTCATATTAAAAACTTGAAGATTGTTTTTACACATTAAGAGATGACATCAAATTGTTGGCTTTCTCATGATTATAACAATTGAAAAATCAAACTTGAATCCATGGAGTATTAGTGAGTTATATAACAACACTTTCAATATCAAGTCTTTATAATGGTGAATGGTAAGGAGACATAGATGGAGAATTGGAGAGGATTTTGAAGTAAGCATTCATGGTGTAAACAAGACACTGTACCATCATTTTCTTGGAGGAAATGAGGAAAATAATGAAGCTCTCTGTCACAGTAGCTGGTGACGCAGTAAATATTTGATCTAAGTACCTCACAGATACAAGTGTAGAGCATTGCGTCTATACCATCCTGTTTGAGTTGAGCCAGTGGAACCTAGACGGACAGTGGTTACGGTTACTGTTTATGGCTGATTTTGAGGTGTTAATACTTGATAGATATTTGCATAAAACATAATAAACAAAGGAGTTGTTTCAGCTTTGAGAAATAAAGCCTTTCAGCTGGAACTGAATGAAATGTATAACGTTTTTTTTTTTTTTTTCATATTTATGGTGTTTATATAGAGGTTTTATTGGTAAACTAAACTTCTGAGCACAAAATATTGTTTTCTTACATGAAGGTTGCTTGTGGTGGTTGTCACACAATGGTCGTGGCCAGTGAGAGGCAAGAAGATGGATTAGACCTCATCGGGCATTCACTTGACTGTAAAAGTGAGGTACATAATATTTACACCTCTATATATTTCTAAAAGTTAAAGTTAAAATATGAAACTATGATCTGCATTTACTAAACACAAATCCTTAAACGAGTGCATATATGTTTGTTTAAGAATCTTGTCATCTGGGATATAATACCATCTAATGTCATTCTCCTTCCAAGAAATGGGAAGCAGTGGATTCCTCAAAGACGCTGATATCTCTTTACCAAACTATATTTCATCGCATCTCGGAAGACTGTAAGAGTAGCCAGGGTAGCATAGTTGGTATAGCAACTGGCAATGCGCTGGACAACTGAGGGGTCAGAGTTCGAGTCCTGGCAGGGTCAAGAATTTTCTCTTCTCCAAATCATCCAGACTGGCTCTGGGGTTCACCCAACCTCCTATCCAATGGGTACTGGGGGCTCTTTCCCAGGGGGTAAAGCAGCAGGGGCATGAAGCTGACCACTCACCTCCAATTACTGCCTAGGTCAAGAAAATGTGGATCTGTACATCCACTCCCCCATATTCCTTCATGGTGTATTGCTTAATTCGTTGAGCACAGGGACAACTTTACCTTTCCTTTTAATGGAAAACTGTAATCTTTACATTCACTGTCATGAGAACTTGAGATCTCATGTGATTGTTTCTGCCTTCTCACTGACAATATATTTCTTCTTATTTTTCACTCATTTGTACCATTAGAAATGAAACGTTTTGCTGTGGCTAGCAATGTATCCATTCAAGTTTACTTGGAAATTCAAGAGACATCATTACACTCCTTAATACTTGAACACAATGTGTACATACAGACTTGCCATGACATTATAACAAGATTATTTTTTGTCCAGTTGATTTTAAATTGTGAGTAATCACAGACTCTTATAAGTGCTGAATATTGATCTAAAATAATATTAGTTTTTACATGACCTTGCATGTACAATTTATGTCATTAAATCATAACTAATACTAAATTGGAATGCTTATTTTTATAACATACACATTGAAAGTAATATGTATAGGATACAAATAAGCACATTATGCCACATCTGCTACTGCTAAAATTTGTAATTGTGACAAAACTAAAATTGAAGACTGCAAAACACATTACAGTTACAAATTTAGCCAATGGATTAAATGAATAAAAAAGTGTATGGTATCAGTTTGGGAGTAATACATCATGGTTCTTCAGCTTTCCTGGGCACCCTGTATTAGCTAACTCATTAATAAGAGGGGGGATGGAGCGAGAGAGAAAGTGAAACACATCACTGGTAACTTGTAATACTTTCAGGAGATTTCAGTACTACCCTTCACAAATCGAAACTCATTACCACCTTTGCAACGTGTTCCAATTCAGAGTCCCAATAACAATACAGAGATGATCGGCTCCTTCCAAGAAAACCAAGACAATCATTTGGAAGAATTGCAAGACCAAGCAATAGATGGAATGGTGGCAGAAAAAGATATTGAAGTGAAATCTACTTTGTCAGGCAGCAAGGAGAGCAGTGATAAGGACGATGACATTGATGCTGATATTGATGACGAAGAAATATCACCAAAGTCTGTCGAGCCTAAAAAGGATAAAAAGGTGTGTGTGAATCTTTCAGTATTAACATATTCTTAAGGTCATAATTTCATTGAGGTATATGATAGTAATATTTAAGAAACTGAACAATGTAATATGGGTGGGCAATATTAAAATGCATCTTAGAGAAATAGGATGGAATGGTATGGATTGGCTTGACCTGGCTCGGGATAGGGACCAGTGGAGGGCTCTTGTGAAAAGAGTAATGAACCTTCAGGTTCCATAAAATGCCAGGAAATTCTTGAGTAGGTGCAGAATTGGCGGCTCCTCAAGGAGGCCTCAGCTCCTTAAATAAGTAAGTAAGAACAATATAATGTAATTCAGTTATTCTCATTTCATGTACAATGAAATATTGATTTAGTGTTTCCACATTCAACCCTTTGACGTGGTCATTTAAATTCCGCGGCCGCGGCTCCTGCGGTAATATATTCAGCCGGCCATTTAAATTTTGCTAANATTCCATATTTAGTGAATATATTTTATGTTCCATTTGAAGCTTAGTATATGTTAAATTATTTTCTTGTTTTTAGTCAATTTTGATTTTGTAAATAACCTACATTTATTGTAAGAATTTCTCATCCCCCCCCAACTGCAGAAAAATTTGTTCACAGATCCAGCTTGGGACTGAACACTTAGATCCTTGTGAATGAGAGTCTAACATATTACAAAGACAAAAACAACACCGTCCAGTATGACTATTTAAGTTTTATCACTTGAAAACTCATCACCCTTACATGTTTCGATCCCTATGGATCATCCTCAGAGGGTATCAGTACTTTTTCCGGAAACTACTATTACAATAGGCGTTAACCATTAGGGGACGGGCCATTTAACCGTTCAGCGTGGTTTGACGTGTATATTTCGTCAGGTATTTAAATCGTCTGGGGGGGTTCTACGTCTATGTTTCGTCCAGCTGCACACCTATGTTATAACGCCCATAATAATTTATGGTTTTGCTGTAGATTGTTAGATTTTTCGCTGGCCTGTTGTCACAAGGACTATATATAATGAGACACNACCATAAATTTTTTTTTGAGCCAGCTAAGCTCTGCTTTCGTGCACTACATACCAGCCAGTTCTTAGAATAACTTCATGAATTCTGTGGTCACCCCTACGACATCTACTGCCGCCAAAATGGATGGAATATCAAAGGCATAGCAACAACCCCTTGTTATGATAACTCGTAACGTTGAATTTACTGCAGCTGACCTGACTAGCTAAACGCTCACGGAAAGACATTTCCTTGAACATATACCCCTCACGGGGAAGAAGGCAAGGCCGCACAGAAGATGTGTGGTTAAAAAAAAGAGCCAAAGAAAAGATACACAATACTGGTGTGGTGAATGTGGGACAGCGTTGGGTTAGAAGAATGCTTCAAGGCCTTCCTTACACTGCTCAAATTCTAAACCAACTGCTTCCCTTGCCGAGATACCGGGCGCTCATATTATAAGGTAAGGTTATAAAAACCATCTTTTAAGATCATTTTAGTGAAAGTTTCATGCTTCAAGGCGTACGATACACTGTTCAAATTCTAAATAACCTGCTTCCATTGCCGAGATACCGGGCGCTCATATTATATGGTAAGGTTATAAAACCACCTTTTAAGATCATTTTAGTGAAAGTTTCATGTTCCTATCTCATATAATTTAAGAACAATGATGAATAAATCATTTTCAAGCAAAATTTAAATGGCTGGCTGAATATATTACCGCCGGAGAGACGGCAGCGGAATTTAAATAACCGCGCGAAAGGGCTAAATTCTGGTAGTGGCAGCGGGACAGAGTTAATTTAAATGCCCGCCATTGTAGAGTAATAAAAATTGTAATCATGTTACTGAAAATGCTGTGATTTCTGCAATTTTTGTGATAAGCGAACGAAATAAACGCTGCTTTTATCTAGAAAGAATATAGAATCAGATATTGTAGTTTACAGGTTTTAGAATCTGTAAAAATTGTTACACTGGTTGCAAAAAGACATTTCCCTCAATTTTGAACGTGTCCACAAATATGCATACAGTTTCTGCACAAAACGTTTCTGCTGTACAAATGCCTGCTGCTGACATCATGCTTACTCGAACCATCTTATCTGCGAGTGGGTTCGAAGCTTCTGTTTATAAAACACATTCAAAATACTGGACCGTCTTTGTATAAGCTCTCGCTATCTGTCCTTGACACTCTAAGACTGTTTATATCTGAGAGGAGCCACAAGCGATAGCTATTCTACGAACTGTATAAACAGTACTGCCAGAACTTCCTAGCTAGTGCGTTGTGAAGTGAAAAGAACATTCACCATGGCCTTGTTTCGCTTGGAAGAAGATGAAATTGAGAACCAGCTGCTAAATGACACCGATTCAGACTGTGCCACAGAAACCTCAGAGAGGGGCGAGGAAGAAAGAGATTCAGAAATTGAAGCTGATGAAGACGCATCATCTTCGTCGGCAACCTGGGGACCACCACACCAGCATGGCAGGAAGCGTGTGAGTAATTATTCCGGTGGAGCTGTGGGGTTAATTATCAATGAAGCTCCACACGTAAATAAGGATTCCACCCCTTTCTGCATTTTCATGCTATACTTTGCAGGGATTATCCGTCTGCTGGTGGAAGAGACCAGTAGGTACTACCACCAGTAGCTAGACAAACTTGAAGATGGACCTTCTCCGCAGCCTGACGTGACCGATTCCGAGATGTTTCTGTTTCTAGGAATAATCATTCAAATGGGACATGACATTAGAGACAGACTAAAGGACTACTGGTCGATTGCAGAACAATTTGCAACGCCTTTCTACTCTAACACAATGAAACGTGACTGTTTTTTACAAATTCTTCGTTTTCTTCATTTTGCAGACAACAATACAGAAACTGACAGGAATGCCGACAGTTATGACCGACTATGGAAAATTCGGACCATCTTCGACACTCTCAATGACGCATATGAAAAATATTATAACCCTTGCGAACATTTGGCTATAGACAAGGTAATTGTTAAATTCAAAGGGAGGGTGGTTTTTAGGCAGTACATTCCTAAGAAACACAAACGTTTCGGAATCAAAATCTTCAAAATTTGTGATGCCGCTGGGTATACTTATGACATGAAAGTTTACCTAGGAAAAGACAGGACACGTGCCGACCAAGACGTGACAGCGACACATGCTACAGTTAGGGACCTATGCAGACGTATTGAGGGCGTAGGTCACAAACTGTACATGGACAATTTCTTTTCGTCACCAGACTTGTTTGAGGAACTGATGACAAAGGACATAACGTGCTGTGGGACAGTCAGACCTAATCAGAAGGACTTGCCGGACGATTTTCAACGAAGACAGTTTCGACTGAAGAAAGGTGACATTCGTGTTAGGGTGAGACAGAACTTGACAGCAAGAGTTTGGAAGGACAAACATGACGTTTACATACTGACAAACCTGCACTGTCCTCCAGCAGAAGGCAGTTTCTGTGATGAGCACGGAAATGCCATCAAGCCAGCAATTGTTGCCGATTACAACACACACATGGGTTATGTTGACAAAGCGGACAGAATGGCAAAACAGTTATAGCATCAGTCGTCGGACCTGGAAATGGACAAATAAACTATTTTTCCATTTCCTGGATATGACGATTCTGAACAGTTTCATCCTGTTGTCATCCTGTGGCGCGAAATTGTCACACAGAGAATTTCGTCTCACCCTTGTGCGCAACATGCTGGAACATGCTGCAAGGGGTCCACCTCGCCCTCAATGGTCCACGGGTCGACCTCCTGCTGTGTCATTGGCGATATCTCGATTAGAGGAGGCCTCTCGACATCATTGGCCGACTTCCTCTACTATGAGATTGAGATGTCGTGTGTGCTCTTCGCATAGGAAACGAAGTTACATCCGGACAAAATGCGTGAAGTGTGACGTTAGACTATGCATTTCCGGATGTTTCCAACAGTTCCACACGAAGGCAACATTCAATTAGATGACGCAGGAGGGGAGACAGAATTCTTATAAAGCTGGTATCCAAAAATAATGTAAGTAGAACAAGAATTTCTATCTTAAAATTAGATTTTAAAACACTGTGCGCACGCGTGGACTGCGCATACCCATACGGCGTCCTTCATCCACTCGGCTTTACTTTAAAGGTCCCCATACGGTGTCCTTCGACTCATAAAGGTTAAATTATATACATACACATATAATGTCTGAAACACATAATGTACGCAATGTTCAACTTTTTACAGTCATAGCAGCCTTCCTGGTATTAAATTTGTAAAGTTTTTTAAAAAATTTGTTGTTTAAGATTAAAATTTATAAACAATGCAGGTTCATGTCAATTCTCCTATTGTCTTTCTTGGAGGTGCCTGATCTTGTGCCGCCTGTCTATCTTGAGAAAGGAGATTCTTTGTATTGTCCGTGTTTGTTCGTGGCTTGCTGTGTTGTTTACACAACAGTGTAAACAACATTATATGTGTGTGTATATAATTTAACACCTATTGTAATAGTAGCTTCCGGAGAAAGTACTGATGCCCTCTGAGGATGATCCGTAAGGATCAAAACGTGTAAGAGTGATGAGTTTTCAGTGATAAAACTTAAATAGTCACACTGGACGGTGTTGTTTTTGTCTTTGTAATTGTTAGTGTGATGGACCAGAATGAAACAAATCAAATTCTAACATATTACTATGACATTATCAGGCCTGTCCCATCCCCAGGTTAAGTTTATAAATGTTGCAGATATGAGTGTAATACTTGTATCTCACATGTAAAGGAGATGCAGTGCTTTGCATCAGCAGTTAAGGATTGAATACTGTTATCACATGGTAGTGTAGTTGGTTGAGGCACTACAATCTGGAAGGTTATGGGATCGAATCCCAATGAGGTGGATTTTTTTCAATTTACCTAATCCTTCCAGCCACACTGTGGCCCTGGGGTCAACTCAGCCTCTAACTGAAATCAGTACCAGGAATATTTCTGGGGGTAAAGGGCGGCCGACGCGTAAGGCTGACAACCTTACCACCATCTGTGAGGCAATTGTCTAGAAAATGTGGGAGCCTCAACATCTCACAACCCTATGGGCCTCCACGGCCTGCTATGGGGTTAGCTTTAGTTTACTTCACTTTTCTTTCACTAAAGAAAGGCTTCATCACTTTAAACACTGTTTGGAGTTAAAAGAGATTGCAGATGTCTGGTAGTGACGTGAATTTTTGTCATGAAGTATGCTGGATTTAAGGTTCCCACAGCTGTGACGGAAAAGTGTGGTATTCTGGGTTTTAACACCACATGGTTTTGAGAGAGCCTCTTGTTTTGGAGGAACCTATCTTCTCCATCTTCAGGAATGAAGAGCAAACCAAACAAGAATCCAGCAGAAGCTGGTGGCAAGCTCAACTTGGCTTACTCCTAAGCCATGAAGACGGAAGCAGTATGTTCCTTCAGAATGCCAGGCTTTCTCTGAACCACACAACATTACAGTCCAGAATAGTGTATATTTCATGTAATGTGGTATTTGTTCTTTGAACAGTGGTTTAAAAGACTACGAAGTAATGTTTTATTACAACGTTTTAACCTTCACATCTTGTGTCATTCAAAACAAGGTTAACAAATGAATTTATGGCATTCTTCAGTTATGAGAACACTTTTTTGGTAGTGCCAACAAAACCATGGCAGGACGGAACCTCAATTAAGCTATGACCACTTCCTTGCTAGTTCTTTCCCATTCACCATGGTCCATCATGCAGTCTCACTGCTGACAGCAAGCACTGCAAAATAACACTGAACAAAATGAACAAGAAAATGTGTAGCCTAAGATTTGATTGTTGTAAACGTGATTTTTTTTATAAGAATGATCACATCAAGGATGATGAAATTGGCAGGGAATATAGCAGACATGGGGGAGAAGAGGCACGTGTAGGATTTTGGTGGGAAAGCCAGAAGGAAAGATTTAGGTGGGAGGATAATAATCAAATGGGTCTGAAATAGGATGGGATGGTATGGACCGGATTGATCTGGCTCAGGATAGGGACCAGTGGTAGGCTCTTGTGAACACATTAACCTTTAACGTATGGACTTTTAAATTGCCAGCAGCCCTGTATGGTCGGAATTTAATTCGCCCTAATTAATTAACCTTGCAAACTTTCAGAAAAAATTAATATTTTCTGTTCTATGCAACTTAGAAATATGAACTAAAAAGAACCTGAAAGACAATAAAATTTTCTACGTATACATAAAAGAGCAAGTTTTACAAATGAAAATTAACTGTGTATATTTTGTCATAAAATGCACAATATAATCTTTATTATATATGTTATGAAATTCCGAAGGACTTACCCATTGTTTTTTCTTCAACCATGAATCATGGTGATATTGTAAATATATTCACACTATATACTCGTAGAATAACATTTTATTCAGACTGTGCACGATTTTGAACTGCGTCACTTCACAGCTTATGATACCTCACACTCTGACGCGCATGTGCCACTTCTCGAAGCAGTCCACCACACATAGCCCAACATCACACTTTTTACAATAGTAGAGCGTGCTGCTTCAGTTTTTCTTATTTTGAGAACAAACACAACAGCGTCTTTGTTTCCCTTTGGTTGGCCAGTGTTGTGAATGTTTCACCTCCAGTCAACTCAGTTGGGCCCCAGATGAACTTGGCCTCCCCTGAGAAACGCCACTGACCATGATATTCGCCTCATGCAAATGAAGAATGACATCCCGCACCGATATTTCGCAGAATTTTTTGAGTGTCATTTTTCCACCACATTACTTGTGTAATAGATATGCATTATCTAGAAGGTGTAAAAACAATTTCTTTGTCCACTTCCATGTCCTCCTAGCAATGCCATAACTGTTTACCATCCTGTCAGATTTATCCACAGAGCCCATGTGTGCATTGTAGTCTTCAGTTCCATTGGGTTTGACAGCATGGCCAGATTCATCTTGGAAGTTGCCATCCAATGGAGGAGGTTGCATATTGGTCAGAACATACACATCATGCTTGTCTTTTCAACGAGCAACACTTAGATGTCCCTTGACTCTTGTAACAATATCCCCTTTTTTTAATTTCATTGACTTAGGCCGAATTTCTTGTGGCATTCCATGCCTACCATTGCGAATGGTGCCACACGGATTTATTTTCCTGTCTAAAAGATCATCAAATAATGCAGGAGAACTGAAATAATTGTCCATGTAAATTTTGTGTCCCAATCCTTCTACTCTTCGAATTAGCTGGAGAACAATGCCATGTGTTAATGTAATTTCTTCTGTCACAAGTTGCCTTTATTTTCCTAAATAAACTGTCATGTCATAAGTATAGCCAAGAAAATCGCAAAGCTTGTAAATTTTTATACCAGATCTTTTGCATTTCTTTGGAATATACTGATGAAAAATCACTCTTACTTTGAAGAGCACTATGACTTCATCAACAGCAAGACGTTCTGATGGACTGTAAAGTTCACAAAATTTGTTGTTCAGATAATCAAATATCTTTCTAATTTTTCAGAGCCTATCATACTCTGAATCATCTCGATTTGGAGGAGTTTCATTATTTTCAAAATGCAGGAATCTCAAAATGTGTAAGAAACGGTCTCGTACCATGGTGTTACGGTAGAATGGAGTGTAATATTGCTCATCTCTTGACCAATAATCTTACAGGGTGTCCCATTGATCGTGGCCCATTTGAATTATTATTGCCAAAAATTTATACATTTCTTCAATTGTAACATCAGGCAGTTGAACAGAAGGGCCTGGAGCATCTTGGCAGGCCATAAATTGGTGGAAATATCTATTGGTTTCTTGTAACAAGATTTGGAATATTTGCTGGAAAAACAGAATGAAAATGGAAAAAGGAGAGGACTGTAGATTTATATTGGGAGCAGCTGATCTGTTGATTCCACTCAGAGGACCAGTGAAGTCTAGTAACTTTGGCGAATCCTCGGGTCTTCTACAAGAAACCTAATTTCTATTTCCTCTGCCTCAATACCTGATGATGATGACATTTTCACGAGGTTCAATGAACTCATTGAGTTCTTCTAACTCGTCATCAGATTCCTTTTTCATCAATATTTCATCCAGTTCTTCTGCATTGAGAAGTTTTGAATATTGGGCACGTTTTTGAGGTTCCATCTTGGGGGATGGGGGTTGCCAGCTAAATCAAATAAATTAATTTGATTGACAAAGCGAGACTCTCACCTGTTAGTAATACTTGCAAAATAGCGATGCAAAGTAATTATAATACTAGTTGAAAAGAGTGCCGGTCGGACACTGATACCGAAAGTCATAGTGATGAAGATGCCTTTTACTCAAAGTAATACTGGCTCAGTGAGTTTATACCTCTTCCGAGAAACAAAATAAAAATAATATACAAAGAAATATATGACAGTCTGACACTAACTTTTTAACTGATAAAGAAATACTAGACAATCCGACACTGACTTCCAAAATGATAATTCATCACTGAAAACCAATCCTTGAAAACGTCACACTTTCTTGAAAGCTCTGGAAGCACTGATCTGCAAGCACTGATGAATATTTCCTCTTCAGTTCTCAGAAAAAGCTGGGCTATATTTGGCTGACCAGTTTGATATTAATTCAGTTTTGATAATCTGTTTTAGGAAGCTATTTCAAACGCAATGGATGTTTCTGAAGATTCAGACTTAGAAGAGGAAATAAAAGATATTGATGAAAATTACAGAAGTCCCTTTGTCAGTGACCCTGATCAAGAAGACAATACTGATGTTAAAATGGAATGTGAGGTGAAGAAAGGTGGAGTAAATTTATTTATGAGGTGGCTTTGATTTCATGATCTGAAGTAGAAAGATACACCAAAATATAAGGAATTATTTTGTTTGAAAATTTTTAAGGCAGCCGAAATATATCATGATTACTGTGAAGTTCTCTAGATGCCTTATCTAGTATAATGAAACATCAGATTGGTGCTGTGACCACACACCATGTATGCCGCACAATTTTCTGTAAAGGTTTGTTGTCAGAGACCAACTGTCATCATCTGTGAATTTTCTGTAATATCATGGTCTCATGCTGAGTGCTGTATCTTTGGTCTTTGTAGTCTTTGACATTTGTTGCAGTAGTTCAAATACATGAACAATAGATGGTAGGAGATTTGTAATTTCTATACTAAAATTTTCTTTGTCTTAATTTTTGATGGAGATGAATTTGTAGCTGCCCTGGGTGAGGGTGGAAATAAGGATGGGATTTTTTTTTTATTTTAATAAGAAGCATAGTATGGGGAAGAGTTAAAGAATAGTGACCATGAACGAAGATACCTTTTAATAAAATCACATAAATGTGTTTGCTTACAGAAAGTAGAGTATCTCGATTCTTCAATGCTTTTCGGCGCAAGAAACCATCTTCAGCACAGTCTGTTAGATTGGAAGGCTGTGGGGAGCAACTCTCTATTAAAGACAAATGTCAAAGTAAGTGTCTTGCAGTTAAGTGTTATTCTCTAGGAAATAATTTCTGCTTATTTTCGGTTATAGGCCATGAGTTTTGTTTCATATCTCCTAAAACTGTATTGTTAAAAATATATTGTGAGTTATATCTGTTTACAAAGAACCATTGCATCCAAAAGTCAGTCATAATGTAATGCTATATAATGTGGCTTTTATAATTAATTTCACTACACTTTGAAAAATGATTTATTACCAGAAAATCAGATGCTTTTATTATTCAACTGTTAATGCTTGTTAAGGACAAAAATAAAAGTTATTTTTATGCAAATTTTGCATTATTGTGCATCTTAAATAAAACTTATTGAGTCATATAAAAAATTGTATAATTCTTCTTTAGTCTTGTGTCACAAAGAGCATCAGTGCACTGCATACTCTGTTCTCATTTACACATAGTAATTAGAAATGTTTGTGAAATAGGAGCAGCAAGTGAGGGTGGAGTAAGGGGGTCAGCACAAGTTATTCAGCAAAATAGAGGAGACATTGAAACATCAAACAACAGGAACTTAGGAAACGAAAGAAGGGTTGGTATAAAAACACACTTTTAAATCCTTTTTCTTTAATTAATGCTTCTGCTGCTAATAGTGAAGTATTTGGAGCCAGAATACCTTTGAATAGCGATGGGCCAAAGGCTGAACAGCTGGGCTTCGATTTGGGGCAAGGGGAATAGATTTTTCTCTTCTCCATAGTGTCCAGGCCAGGTCTAGGCCCCACCCAACCTCCTGTCCAATTAGTACCAGGGGCTCTTTCCCTGGGGGTAAAGCGGCCAGAGCGTGAAGCTGATCACTCACCTTTGTCTGTTGTCTAGATCAAGAGTGGTGGAGCTATACCCTGTATCTCTGTGGCATTGTTCTTAATTGATTAGACACGGACAATTTTACCTTTACGTTTACAATGATGTGTTTATGATATAGTTTCCCAGAATTTCTTTTAGGGAGATTGTAAGCCCTATCTTTGCAGTGTTAATTTTATTAAATCAAGGTGCATTTTTATAAGTAACCACAAGCTCAGTAGATATAAATTTTGGGACACAGACGGTTGAAGGGGGCATTTTCCCTTTCCGCAGCTTCTGATATGTCCTTGATGTATGCTGTACTTTGAGAATATTTGCTTGATTTTCATTTTACAATGTCAAATTATTCTGGTCATCTAGAGTTATAGGTTATGGTTACAGTTATATCATATTTTATGATAAATGCCATTTTAGTTAAATTTATTTCAAATACTTTTCTTTCCAGTCAAAAACATGTACAATCCTTTAGACTTGGTGAATCATCTAGGAAGAAGTTCTTCATGGAGGAATGACTTACACAAAGGGGAAATTAAATTTATAGAATGCACATATGGTTGCTACCTTGTGTAATAATATTGCATAGTTTTATTGTGTAAGTGTGAAGGATGATGCATATTAGGGTATGTAATGTGTTTAATACAGTCAACTCTCGATTATCCGGGATAATGGTGGGCATGGAAATCATGATTAATCGAAAACCCGGTTAAGACAAATGTTAATAAAAGTAGCACTGTAATACTGTACCTTCATAATAGTATAGGCCTAACTGTATTTAAATTTACTCAACCTCATTTTTATGTCATCTCATGGCCTATTTAATACTTTTTTTACATTATACTGAAGTGTGAATTAGTTATTTCAGTCACAGTGTTCAACAACATCCAACACTTTTTACGAATATTCACACTTAACACTTAAACAAAATTAATATTGTCGTTTGCTTTTTCGTGACATTTTCCTTTTTACAGATATCCATATGAAGCCTACGTAATATTAGCTTGTCACTTAATAAACTGTTCTCTTCACTCTCAAGATAGTCTAGTAAGGATTCCAAATGATTAAGAGCAGCACCAAGTGATATTTTCTTACTAGCAGCACTGTCCACCTCTTCCTCATTCTCACTTTCTTCCCTCTCTTCTGGCTGCACCCCCACTGAACTTATGGATTCGTCACTGCTTAACATTTCGAAGCCCGGCTCACACGAGTTTCTGTTGAATTCTCAACACAACACGCTTCCTTTTACACCCTGACATTTTGCTAACGCACTTGAAGATCGATACAAAGTAACCAACTGGGGCAGTGTATCTGTTCTTGAAACTTTCCACAAATCCTTGCATTCTTTCACCCCTACCCTAGAACATTGTGTTAGCATAACGGGACCAAAGAATGCAGAGCTTTTTCACCCTAGTGCGTAAATAGTGTTACAACTTATTATGTCTTAAGGAGGGGGTGATGAAAATACTAAGTGCCGGTAGCGCGGTAGGCATTCTACCACCGTACCCCCATTTCCGCCATATATTACGCCTCTGCAACAGGGGTGGATTGCATATCTCACTGCTTTCCCCAATTATTATGCCGTGGTGATGGGGACGGGTTAAATACAACTACTAATTCACTTTGTCAGTCAACCCTGCGTTTACTCGTCCCACCGCCTTTACCATAGGTAATGCTTCGATGGCAGGGGTGGGTAGAACACAGTTACTCCTTTACGACAGCCACCTTGCGTTGGCCAATCCCCACCTTTGCCACCACTTTGTTATGCCTGAAGGGGGCTAATGAAATAATACTAAATTACTCTTTCCTTGTTCCATCAGGAATGTCATCCCCTTGTCTACTTCTAGTCCCTCACCCTTAACTGTCGTCGCATCCGGCTGCTGTTGGCTGCCTGGGGTCAGTTCTGCCTTCGTCGGGACTGGGAAAGGGTGGAGTTTGTGAGGGTGAATCATAACTCTGTACATCCTACCCTAATTACACTGTCTATTTACACACGTATTTACAATAGAAGAATACCGAAGTCTGTCGGTTTACACATGGTATCATTTCATTAATAGTTCGTAATTCCGTTCTAACCTCTCGCCTAGAGCCAATGGCTTGAGACTGTCACTTCCTTCATTACTGTTACTCAATACACCATCTCCGTCCTACCCTAGGTACACTGATCTGTTTACACTTTATTTACAATAATCTTTACGTAATAACAATGCCGACTTTCAGTCGGGACTACATCATCTCTGTACGTTGCCAGACTATCGTTTCATCATCATTTCCCCTTCTGGGGCTGTAGGACTTGAGTCCGTCTCTCTTTTCTTCTCCCAATTCGGCTCATTTCACCGTTCTGCCCTATCCTATCATCATGCTTCATCTTTAACTTCTTCTGCTCCTAAAACTACAAATGCTAGAGAGCCTAAGTATGTTTATCACACAATGAACAATAAATATGCGTGGTCTGCATACTACTCGTAAATCATAACACACAATAACGACGGCCATATTTACCGTACTAGCAACCTCGGCAATCACTTGTTACATTATTTCTCTTATCCTACCCTAGGTCTCGCTGGAGATTGCTTTTCAACATTTAACCACAATAATAAAGTTTAATGACATGGCTTGTATGAGCAAACATGACTTACTTGAAATAGAGAGGCAGCGACACCACCATTTGTAGTACCATGTTGAACGGGGCCTCCGGCCGCTTGCCGAATATTACGTTTGTGATTGATCCCTAAATCTCATTGATTGGTGATTTATACTATCACCTTGCTGACACTGCAACTGACAAAGGAGGGAAGTTACTCCTCACTTTGTCCTAAATTTCTGGAGTGGTGAATTGCCATTGGCTAAACTTGACTCCTTGCGGGCAATCCGCGGCGCCTCCCCCTTTGCATTTTGTAATTTTGTGGTACTCCAGTGGCTTACAAACGCTACTTACAAAGTGGAGTGATTACGCATCGCCGCTGACTAAGATGTTTGTTGACTGCGTGCCACTGCCGATGTGTGGCCATCACTGCTCTAATTACTGTGAAACACTCTCGTAATATTTAGGCAATGCTTTTGACTTTCAGTCTCGAAATTTGCGGCGTAACACAACTCACAATGTGAAACAAAAGTGAATGAATATTAAACATATTTTTTTTATTATTTCTTGCAATTTACAATCTACACTACAAGGGAGCAATAAATAAATATGTTGTAAGAAATCACTTGTGCGGAGTGATCATCAAGTGATGATTCTCCTATGTAGTATACTATGCATTATATTGTTGAGTACAGCTACCCATCTTCAACACTGTGTTCTTATAAGTCTGAGGGCCATTGTCCTTTTAGTCTTCGTCTGATGTTTAATGGGTTGCTTAGTTCAGATGCAACTGTTTTTGTGTCCCATTAGTCAGTTGTGGTATATGATAGAATATCTTTTGATTTCTTTTGTGATGAATGGGATTTGAAGATCATTGTGTAATGTGAAGTTCGAGACATACCATGGGGCGTTGGTTATGGAGTTTGATTGGAATCTTTGAATTATTTTGGTGTTCGAAGGCTTAGCACACCCCCACAGTTGAACTCTGTATATCCAAATCGGTTTCAGTATGCATTTGTAAATTAAAGTCTTTTTTTCCAGGCTGAGTTTGGATTTTCGTCCTAAGAGCCATGACATTTGTCGTACTTTTAGGTTTTGTCTTGATGTGCTTCTGGTCTAGGTATAGGCCGAGGTATTTTACTTCTGTCTGTATTGGGATTTGTAAATTATTGATTGTAACTGGTGGACAGTGTATGCGCTTTGTTGTGAATGTTATCTACGAAGATTTTGTTTGGTTTATCCTGATTTTCCATTTTTTGAACCATTCTTATAGCAGGTCCAGATGGTGTTGAAGAAATTGCAATGCCAGTGCCGGGTCACGGTCTGTTGCTAGGAGAGCAGTATCGTCCGCAAAGGTTGCTATTGTGGTGTTGGTTGTTGGCAGATCTGCAGTGTATATTAGATATAACAAAGGCCCAAGCACACCCCCTTGTGGTACTCCGGATTTTGCTAGTTTGTAGCTAGAATAGGCATTGTTGTATTTTACTTGGAAATACCTTTCCGAGATGTATGATTTTAACAGTAGATAGTGTGGACTTGGCAGTTTGTTCTTAATTTCATGTAGTAATCCAGTATGCCAGACTTTATCAAAAGCCTGGGGAATATCTAAAAACGCTGCAGTGCAATATTGTTTCTCTTCTATACTTGTGGCAATTTTGTTGATTATTCTGTGAGTTTGGTGGATTGTAGAATGATGTTCTCTGAATCCAAACTGATAGTCGGGTATAATATCGTGGATTTCTGTGTCATGTCTAATTCTGTTCAGTGAAAGTTTTTCAAATATCTCTGAGGGAATAGGCATCAGGCTAATGGGATGATAAGAGGCCACTTCGTTAATTGGTTTTCCGGGCTTTGGTATCATAACAATTTGAGCAAATTTCCATATCGGAATGTAAGATAGCCTGAGCATGCTATTGAAGATTATTGTGAGTAGTGCAGTTGCTTTATTTGGCAATTGTCTCAATATCTTTCCCGTGATTATGTCGTAGCCAGGTGCTTTGCATTGGTTCACTTTTTTAATCTGTTGTTTTACTTCTTTAGGTGAGAAGGCTTTGATTGGTAAAGACATTTGACATGGCGTATCTAGAAACTCCTCAATATCGTTGTCATTATGATGATTATTAGAGTCGTGTGGTGTAAATACCAGAGAAAGATATTCAGCAAAATTTTCGGCTTTTTCTAAATCACTTTTGGCCCAGCTTCCGTCAGCCTTTCTTATTGGAGGTATTGATTTTTGGGGCTGTTTGAATGTTCTTGTACCTTTCCAGATTGTATGATCGTCCTTATTGAGTGAAGTGATATATTGCTCAAAAGTCGTGTTCCTTGCATTTGCTAGCGTATTGTGCAGTTGTCTTTAAGTCTGTTTAGTTGATTCTGTCATCATTATTTCGTGACCTTTGCCACCTATTCCTTGCTCTGCGTTTTTCAGCTACTAGTTCGCGTATGTGCAGGGGGATGTTATATGTATGTTTTGTTGTATCCCGTGGCGTGGGAGTAGAGTACCATGCTGCTTCCTGGATTAAAGTTGTAAAGTATTGGGTTGCTTGATCTAACTCGTCGGTTTCTTTTATTTTTATGTTCATAATTATGTGGTCTTCAATGTATGTGTGAAAGTTGTTCCAGTTCGTTGCGTTTGTAACCAGCATATTTATCGGTGATTGGTTTATCACATGGGTGGATAAAGTTGCAATTACAGGTGTGTGATCAGATGATAGTTCATGGTTAGATTCTATCTGGATGTAATTTTTCGTGATACCTTTGTGGATGAAAAAGTCTAATAGGTCTGGTAGCTTGTTATAATCGTTTGGCCAATACGTTGGTTCACCCGTGGAGAGGTGGTTACAATTTCGTCTGTTCATTGCTTCCAGAAGGTTTCTTCCTTTAGTTGTAATGAGTCTTGCTCCCTATTGGGTGTGTTTGGCTTTCCAGTCACCTCCTATTATATACTTGGATCCGTAGGATTCAAGAAATTCGACGTATTCTTCACTTGATATTGCATGTTTTGGGGGACAGTATACCGCAGACACTATCAAAGGCCATGGCTTCACATTAACTTTGACGTTGGCTGCTTGGAATTTGACATTTCGGTGATGTGAGCTCGTGATGAGAAATTGAATTACGGATGAT